GGAAATTTCCGAAAGGTTTTGGTAAATATGGAAATCGTGCCTTCCAGAAACGTCCTCCACAAACCGTGCAATTAGAAAATTTCACGTCGTAGTCGTCGTGCAACGACGTCAAAGACATGCACAAAAAAGCACGTGCTAAATCTATTGCTTTTTTGTCGTTCTTGTTGCCATGCCGTCGCCCTCGACGTTGCTTAAGCTCCCTAATAACATGCGTAAGGCCCAGTGAGGCCGCGTGGCGAGCATTGACTGAAGAAAAAAACTCTATAGAAACAACAAGTATAGTTAATATTAAAATGCATTTTCTTTCTTTTCAAGAGCTTCAGTTCTTGACATGATTGTAGCTTTACTGTTCTACGAGCTTTCCATATGGATACATTTTATGACAAATCTTAATACTGAAGTCGAACTTCCAAGTGCGACCACATCTCATAAGGGACCCAGTAACCGCTATTAATTTATTAAGCACTTTATGCAAAACACCAAAATTTTCCCAGTCCACGCCTTTGATATAGAACCTCTCATAAACGACCACCTCCTATAAGCGATTGCGACCACTTTTTGGCTGACGATTTCATAGATTTCTATTGTTTTTAACCTCTTGCAAACGACCTTTAGAAGCACGGTATCGTCTCTGTATGTACTATGTTACTTATCAGAGTATATGAAGAACGTTTAGTGACAACATGGATCTAAACATATCGCAACTCAGAAATTGCATTCAATAAATTATTTTCCATAAAGTCCAGACATTTTCTCGCGGGAAGAGCCCCCCTGAGGTTCAATTCTTGTGAACGACCACCTCCCGTAAGTTTACGCGACCACTTAATTAGTGTTCGCATTTTAGATGGTCGCTTACGGGAGGTCCGACTGTATTTCTTAAAGTTCCACTGTATTTCTAAAAATTAATTTAGCGGCTTGAATTCCTTGAAGCATCAAACCAGTGAAGTACAAAATTGATTCTTTTGTGTAGCCGTTAGAAGAAATAACAGGTACATATGTTAAAAGACGTATGGCAGAAGAATTCACTGGGGAAAAAGTCTCTCATAAGTAATCAAGGAGCAAAAAAAGTCAAACAGAGGTCCCTCCCTTATAGGAACTCAACACTTGCGAGCCGTTTTGCTTCAACGGCATACATTCTGACCACCTTAATTACTGTTTTCTGCCTTGAATCAGCTAATTTTTTATGCCATTACTGAGTTATGTCTACCAGCAGCTTGATGTTAATCGGTTTTATCTAGATATCGGTTTTAATTACCGCTGTTAACAAAAGTTTTCTGTCTTAACATTTATTTTAATTCCGTTACGGCATAAATCATCTTCCGTGATGAAATATTTCTGCCTTGATATCGGCTTAGGAACTATACAAAATACTTCTGCCTTCAGCTTTTAACGATGGCGTGGGTGAAGAACGTCAGCCTTGAGATAAGTAATTATACATGTACCTTTATGACCATGACAATGGTTTTCTGCTCTGAATGAGTCTATTTTTATGCCTTGGCTGATGAATTCTGTCTTTAGGTTAACGTTTCCTACATTATATTTTGGTTTACTTCCCTAACAAAAGATTTATGTTGCTAAGAGGACTACACCACCTCACAGAGGTAAATTTCCTTTTTTCTTAAAGGTTCAGTGTTCTTTTTCAGATAAATGAAACTGTAAACTGCATCATTCAACGTAAATCGTGGCACACAGGACATAACATGCAAGGCGTGACTAGTATACAACGCAAAAATAAAATGGGTGAAGTTTCATTTATTAAGCTGAAAATTCGACTAGTAGAACTATAAATCCAGTGTAAAGCAACGTTTATAGCCAGATTTTTCACTTCCTTTGGAAGGACTTACCTACTGAAGGTTTTCTGCCTAAAAAGCAATTAACTACCCGGATGTAATGTTTTCTTTCTCTATGTCATTTTGTTACGGAGATATAAGTCCATAATGGAATTTTCTTTACCTTGATGCGCGGGTCAAAACTGATATTATTGTTTTCCAACTTGAAAGTTATTTTCTACCATGAAATAAATATCGGTATCTTAAAGATTTGGTGAGCACGTACAATTTTTGTGGAGATTTCTCAACAGGTGTCGAAACATTTTTGCTTCTAGATGTATAACAGTTAGTTTTTTAGTTAGTAAGAGAAATCTGCTTTTCTTCCAATTCTTTGAGTTGTGACTAAAATGCTGAATGACTTCCTCTAAGCAGATCATGGTTACTGACCTGATCATGAATGCAGTGTTTGCACGTGTTTTCTCAAACATGATGCCAGTCTTTAATTCGTTGATACCGGGCCGTTCTGCCTCTTGAGCCCTTAATTGATCCTTTTTGTTGAGATATTTTGAGCCACATTTTTCTATAATTGAATGATATATTTAGTTCAACTGGCCAGAGGGACTGAGTTAATAGCCATTATGTTAGGTACAGTATATAGATAAATATTAATACACAGCCATTAAGAAGAAAAAATTTAAAACATTAGAAGAATTCCACACATTATGACGACTAAATCCCTAATACGGTATAACTACATGGTGTTATATATTAAATTGTTTTTATACAAACTTCTACTCATAAAACTTGTAGCGGAAATCCCGATTCTGCTATTGAAGAGCAAGCACCTCCAGTGAAGCGATGAATTAGCGGTAAAAATTTTTCTGATCGATGGTAAACACCTGTCAAGTCGTGAAAAACCCGCGGCCAGTTTTGACTAAGGGACATATTATGCAATAATAGGAGAAGAGTGTTTCAATAGCTACAAAGAGGTGGCATACGCATCATGGCATGTTGTCAGCACATTAGACAGAAATAACCCATAAATTATTTAATATCATGAAACGGTTTCAACACTCGAAAAATTTTCCCCGAAACGTTTCAGACGTTTTAAAAGTTCTTAAATTTGTTTGACTCGTTGCCAGCCTACAATCTCAGGTAGAGTTTGCACATAACCAGCACCTTTCGCGAAACTGAAAAGTAAAGGAAACCTGGGAAGTGTAGTCCCTACCTGTCTCTCCCCGGCTAAACACCAACACAACCCTAATTGCTATTAGTGTACAAAACTCCTAATTTGTTTAAGCAAGAAGATTATTATAGTGCCAGTAAACCCTTTTGTCACATGCTCAGTCAGTGACCTTGGTTATTCAGCTAAAATTGTCAGTTTCGAAGCGGATCGAGCTCAGCACTAATGGTAAAGAGTTCTTTGAAACCAGAAAAAGTTCAGTGATTATAGTTGACGGTTTCGATTCGTGTTACAATGCATCTTTTCACGCTCCTATAGTTAGGAACCCTCTAGAGTGATATTCATTACCTATATCGTTAACAAATCCCGCTTGTAGAGCTCGATCTTCGTATTTCATTGATTGAGCGCCAATGCCTCTAACAAATGTCACTAACGAATTGAAAATCAGAAGGACAATTCAATACCTTGGTTTAGACTTCAAACAAGCCTTTAGTTTTGCGAAGGGCAAGAACGCACGAGCGGTCAAACGAAAGCCCTGGGACTAACGTGAAAAAACTGAAAGGAGTGTGAGATTGGGCACAGACGTGCGAAAAATGCGTTCCTCTTTTTTTGCTTCAAATGCCTTACTGGCGAGTGAGGTTCGCGCGAACTTCACAAAATCTTTAAGTTACTGCTTTCCAGACTGACTTTGGTTTCAAGGGTTTGACCTCTGTTGATATTACAAACCTCAGGGGCATTGAGTATATAGGCCCTAAGCCATGAATTTGCAAGTTTAGTAGGAAACTGAATAAAATGGTCTGAAACTGCTCCCTTGAGATAAATTTTGTTCATTTCTTCGTATGACAATACATCTGCATGATCTGTGTTAACAAAAAAAAGCGATATCATACACATTTTCATAAAGAAAGTTAAGGACCCCTTTGCTTGTTTGGTTTACTGTACTTGTTACAATTGAACGCCCTTTACGTGGCGCCAAGGAATGAAAGGAAAAGGAAAGGAAACTGACCCACAATGGAGAATGGAACAGAAATTGAAGGGGTTTTTATTTAACTTTTTTTTGGTTCGGGTGTAAATATGAACCCGCGCCTTGTTCCGTCGGCTTTCTCTTCACTATTTGTAAATTTTTGTGATTTCAAAAATTCTCAAGACTTCGAAATTATGAAAATTCGAAAAGTAATACTGCAGTTATTGTTATATAAAACAATACAAATTTTAGCGCTAACTCGCGGCAAGCGGGAGAGCTAGCCCACCTTCTCATAGAAACACGACAAAAAATTTTTATGGAATGCCGGCCAGCCTGCCGGCTACTACCAGGCTGGTTCATCCTATTTGGCAACCTTTCGATTTCCTTTCCCTCCCACACGAGCACCGCTGCAACCTTTACTTTCCATAATTGTGTACTTAAAACCAAAACGAAGAAGAGAAAAGTTACACCATAGGATTATGTTATCCTGAGTACTAAACCTGAAGTACTTATTAGCTACTTTACGTGACTTCATATCGGACTCTGTGAGTGAAATGATTACGTAATTGAGGTTTACCTTGGCGAAAAAGAAAAGAAAAGTTTCAATTTTCCGCATCATTTTGCGAGAATTGTGTAATACTGATAACCACAAATTGCCAGAGGAAATGACGTTACTACTCTAAGGAATACACTCCATTTGATTTTCAGTCAGGCATTAGTTGAAAAGTTTGCCCAAAGATAACCGATTTAACTCTTTTTAATGGAAATAAATAAGTTATTTAATACAGATAAAGAGGCTTCACGAGGGAGTATCTCAAATATATTAACAAACAGGAACTACAGTCTGGAGTGAGGACCAATGTTTGAAAATGCGACCGTCCTACTGATTATCATAAACTTACAAACTTTTGCTGATTTTAATGTTAAATATCAAAGGGTTATTGATCATTTTTAAAATCTCTACCAGTCATTGTTAATGTTTAATAACCTCCGAAGTCTATTTTGTTCGGAATTGAAACATCTCATCTTGTAAGTGCTTGATCAGATTGACATTCTGACACTTCTCTTGCATTCTACGAAGAAATTAAATCACAGATTTTTTACAGGAGTTCGTATTTTCTGTAAGTTGAACCCTAAAACTATCTCTTGCTAAATTGTTTCTTTCTTCCGCTGTTTCTCTGTTAGTTTGAGCTGTTTCTTTGTTCAACATGTGGCTTTCGTTCTTTGGCTTGGTGTTCTGTAGCGACAAGACAGCCGCAGCGTCGCAATACTCAAGGGGAAAAACTCTTCTTCTTCTCTGATGACGACAAAGTAATTCTTTGAAATGCTGTCTGAATCTTCCACTTTGTAAAGCGTAAATAAAAGGATTCACTGCTGAATTAAAGGTTACCATTACAACGGAGGCCATGTAGGCAAATTCTCCAAATTTAATACCAGTTTCGTAGTTGCTTAAAAGATACACAACGAGCTGTGGAAACCAACTTATTACGTAAATGACGCTGACTATTAAGGCTACTTTGGTGACTTTTTTCCTTGATCTACGAACGACTATTTGGACGAACTCGTTCGTTTTCTTAAACCATAAATTACAGACGACTCGAGAGTACAACGATGTCATGATAACGGCTGGTATAATACCAACAACCACTAGCCAGAAAGTTGAGTTGATTTTTCCGGAAGTAACCGAGGGCCACGACTCTAAACAAAACTTTTTGTCTCGGTTATAGTAAATAACAAAAAATAGTGGGAAATTGAAGGCAATAGTGAAAATCCAACAGCAAACGATAATGACTTTTACTTTTGTCGTTGAAAAATTCGACGCCTGACTGTAAGGGTTTATTACCGCATTGTAGCGCTCGAAGGAGATCGCGACCAAAGAGAACACAGAAGCTACACCTCCAATCCATGAAATGTTTCCACCAGTGATAAACTTGCAAAGAAAATCACCAGTGGTACCCGTTGGATGTTTAAAAAAGTGTGTAAAGATGTACTGCGGGCCGATGAATGTCAGCGTTATAATATCAGCGACAGCCAAGTTGACGAAAAGATAGTTGATCGGTGTCTGCATAGTCCTGTAAGAAAAAACCACGAGACAAACCAAGATGTTTCCAATCAGGCCAGGGAATACCAAAACTGTGAAACAGATGGTTAACGTGATTTCTCCAGATGTCAACATGGCCTGTATCGTGTCTGTTTTGAATAAATAAACATAAATACGAATAAATTAGACGGAGGTTATAACACAATAGAAGCAGAACCGTGAAGCTCTCACGAAAACTAAGAAAGCGTTACTAACGGTCAACTGATATGATGCCTTCAGTTAAGACAATAGCTTAGCCGAAATATAGGGCTAATGTACTCTTATAGGTGAGCTAAAGGGTGTGAAAACGTTAACAATATTGGTTCAATTTAGTAACATTTGACAATGGAACTGTCAGAAATGATAGAATCTAGTAAGTAAAAAATAAATGATATTACAAACGAAAGGAAAGATATTGAAGGAAATCTCGGTTACTGATATATTTTTCTTAAAAGTTCTAATCTTGAACGGTAGACAAACGTGACCTACTTAGTCTCCATCCTAGTGTATTTTATTCGTGTATCGATAAAGAAGATTGAAGTTTCTCGATCGTTACGTACGTAATTGAGAAGTGAAAACCTTGGGAATAAGATGTTTTTAATAACAAATTTGTTAAAAAAGAAGGAAATGTAATTTGTTTGTCCCCGAAACACTTGAGATTAATCAAGAAATTGTTTAAAAGTGATTGTACGTTTAAGATCGAAGTGGAAGTTGGAAATGTTGTTGTTGCTTTTTTTAGGAAAGGGAAAAACCGGAGCTCCCGCAGAAAAGCCTCCGGCATTGGAGCTTGTAAAAGAGCCAACAAGATAATATGCTTTATGTAATGTCGGATTAAGCATTGCAACAAGGATCTATTTCTAACACTGACTAAATAAGCTAACAAAGTATTTTGACGTCCAACATTTTGTCAGTACTCAAAAACGATTAACATTATCCAAATTCCAACGTACCTGCAATATTATGAAGCAAATATCGAGTTTGTGTAATTTCATGGTAGTTATATATGCTAGTATTATCATAATATAATTACTGACAACTATGCTACAAGAATTAAATCGCAAATATTTATGATACATTTTTTGTCATCACATTTGTTTCTTTCCATAGGAGACCAATCAAACTCTCAGACCGACAGTATTCGTTTAAGTTTGCCAAGATTTTAGTTGTCAAAATAAAGATACTTTACGTTCGATAGAGCCTTTTTTCCTATCTACGTAAGAACTATTATTAACATAGACCCATATAGATAGTAACAAACAAATATATATAGCTTTAAAAAGGTATAAATAAACAAAGTCAAAATAAGTACAATTACAAGTAGATAAAAAAAAAGCGGGGAAGAGGAATTAAAATTTCGTTGCAGCAGGGCTGAACAATGATTTATATAAAAATTTGGACAATGTCCATTTTTCATAACAACAACGATACAACTGTGAACAAAAAGTCTTTTTTTAGAACATTTGAATTGTAACAAACCTTCATCTGGATTTAAAAGATTTATCAAAAATAAACGACAACGTCTTCTTCGATCTTTTTAAGGGTGAAAACACTGCGATCCTACCTACCGCGGCGTGTTGCAAAATCCTACTATTATTACCGAGAAAAACAGAAAAAAAGTCAGTTGTGGGCGTAGAACAGAACTAGAATGATGGGCTTGCCTTGATACTGTAATGTCCGGAAACTGCAGTCAATGGCCGTTAAATTTGAAATGATGGAATAGCTATGAATTGCCAAAACTGGGATAAATTTCAAAGATAATTCGAGAATCAAGTTGGTATTAACTCTTCTTAGCTTAATGAGTTCTGCCTAAATGGACATATTAAAACGTGTTTACAAAACGGCTATTGTCAAGTCTGTACAGGGAAAAACCTTCGAAGGAGACTTTCTAAGCTTCCGGCGGCAGTTAAAGGCCCTTCTGATGAACTGTGGACGAACTTTTATGATACGCGTTGAATCGGTCCTTTCAGGAGGCGATAGCTCCTTATGAAAATAAATGCAAAGAAACCAAGATGGCTCACTTAACACACTGAGATATTCCGCTCACTTAAGCACCAAATTACGCGCGTGCATTCTATTAAAACCTTCGATTAAAAAACGTCAACAAAATCAAGGAATTACGCAATTCAACTTAATACACAAAACCACCAAGAGGAAACAATCACCAATCTTTTAGCTTAAATCTTCAAAACATTTTTTTTTTTATGGGGAAACTGATTACTCTGAACCCTTAAACCGACTGATCTGTGTATTTCAAAACAGAATTTTTTATCCGGCATTAACAACCGTGAATAACAGCGGACTTTAACTTATAGCCGGGGTAAAAATTCGAATTTTTAAATGAACTGAGCGATTATGAATACAATTTCTAGAAAGACAAGAGCAAACTCTAAAATCGTATAAAAAAAAATCGGCGATCAAAACTAACTAGGAAATAAAATGCACCAAAAAGTACCGAACTTGCTAATGAAGTTAAAAGATATTCACCACTTACATAGGAGTAGCACTTGTCCTTACGGTCTAGGAACTTGATCAGGCAACGATAAAAACAACGCTTTGAAGCTCAGTTTTACAACTTATCTCTTGGCCAGGTGTACCAAACTGAGCCTAAATCTTCTGTTTGGGTGGAACTATATAATTCTAATGGCACATCAATCATGTCATGATCTACAGCTGAACATTAAGGAGTTAAATAAAGTTCTAAGCAATATCCTGGAATGAGACTTGTCTGACATGTCAGCCGTTACATGACTCCGCTAAAATGGTTATAATCTTTTAGAAGTCTAAAAATTTTAACCTTTGTTTTTTTAAGAAATAATTCTTAAAATTTTCTTCAAACAGCAAAAGGCTCAATATTACTCATGTTTGTGGCTCCTTAATGGAGTTGAACATCAAATCTCATTGGCTATTTCTTTGCAGCACAAGCTGTCCTACACTTGGCTTCCAAGAAACGTAAAGAGCCTGAAGCATTAATCTTTGTTGTTAAGCGTATACGATCGACTATATATATACGGCTAGTTTGAGAATGCGTACAAAACCATCGGTCGGTCCCTCGTATGATCGATCTGCTATAGTGAGGAGTTTCCCCGAGGGAGCTCCCGAGGAAACCTTTGAAAAAAAGGTGAGGGAAGGGTAACACCAGCCTCACCCTCATCGTAGGCTTGTTTCTGCGAATGTCTCTGAGACTTCGCTCCGACTGATGAGTTGTTAAGCGTACGATCGACAATGGCTAATTTGAGCATGAGCACAAGTGATTTAGCGAGCGGAGGAGGCGGCTGAATTTCAGGCTCTGATGGTTGTGAGTCCCTCATGCGATCGATCTACCATAACGAGAGGTTTTTCGGGGAAACCTGTGAGAAAAATGCTATCAGCCCCAACCCCACCGTACCCTGACCTCTGCAAATTTCCTCCTCTGACCTCGCTTCGAAAGAAAGTTAGTACGTCTGATTTAGTACCGTTATTTATTAACAATGCTGAGTTCATAAGTAGTACTGTATTTGAAATAGTTTCAACTAAATTTGCATAGTTTTATTGCCAGATTTAAAGTCAAAAAAAGCTAAGAAACGTAGTAATTTTGCTCGATTTAAGTCCCTTGTAAAAAGAGATGACGCTGAAAAATAAAATGCTTGAATACATACAACAATACTTACTACTATACTAGAAATACGTATCTCGCAACCCCTCGCGAAACTTGGTGTTCAATACACAAGTTAAGCCTTGCTGGTCGTGGTTGGAAAATATCTGCGAATATCGTGAGGACTCCTACGTTTTTCTCTCTTGTCTTCTTCCCGTTTTGTTTTAATGTCCTCAATTCTTTTGAAAATTCTTATTTCAAAGCATATTTAGCATTCAGGTTCTTGCTAGGATTGCTTTTATCGCATAGTTATAGGCTGCTTTCAATTAATTATGGTAATATTTTCGGAAATTTCGGTCGAGAAATAAATGGAACGCTTTGGTCCGCGTAGAAATTTTCCGGTCAAAGTTGTCCACCTCCAGAGGTGGTCCTTTTTTGACTGGTCGGTGCAGACCGACAGAAACTTGCAGTTCCTTTTCCAAAATTCTCGTTTCCAGTCCTACTTTGCTAAGCAATCAGTAATCACAATTCTGGTCGAAACGCAAAAGGATCGCTTTGTTTCAATCGAAAACTTTGTTTCAATGGAACAACGCGAAATTAAAAGTGAATATTTTGTTGTTTTAAAAGGCATGACTGCTGTTAAGAATAACCTACAGTTATCAAAGGCATATTAAAAGAACCTGCATGATAGAGACGGGGCTGAAAATAATAGAAAAAAAAAAGATCAAGGCACATTTATTCCGCACAGAAAATTCCCTGTTGACTGTTGCAAAAAATCAGTCCAAAAGTTTTTGTGCATGATATCTATAGATTTCTAAATTCGTTACTAGGTTCATCTATACTGAAAATCAAATTTGAAAGCAGTGTGTTAAACAAGTCAGAAAAGGCAGCAAAACCAAATCAAGAGAAAACAAATTAAAAAATTCAATAGAAATCATCTTTCAAGTTAGTGTGCTCGACACAATTTATATAGACTGATTTCTGTTTTGTGCCAGACTCAGAACGAAGCGTGGACAAAACCATTTTAACAGTCAAAGATGCCTGCTTCTTTAAATAAATTTTTATACGTTAACGGTCTTAACGGAGAACAAATCATCAGTTATAATAAGTTATCTGTCCATTTTCGACGTAAATTTGTTTGATTTTTTCCCTTTTCCTGTGGACAATTGATTAAAAATTGTATTAAATAGTTTTTCTTCGAACAAAGCTCATAACGTTTCCTCATGAAGCAAAAAAACAACTGAATCAAAACTCCACGTATAGAGAATGGCTGCCTTTAAGGATCGAGAATCGGCGGTGAGCGACCCACTTGACGAATCCCTGATATTTTCCCAAAGATACCTTTAGGTAGACTATTTTCAAAAATCATATTCAAAAGTTTCAGAGATTTTATTTGTTTCTGAAATTCGCGAAAAATTAAAACTGCGGTCGCAGTTTTTCGCTTGATCAAATGTCCAAAATAAGGCGCGAGATCGAAGTTTCGCCGCAGTCTTAAATCATTTAACAGAAACAGAACTTCAAAACA